ATCCCCAAAACAAACAAATGAACAACAAACTATTATGACCCATTACCAGAATTTATTACTCAGTAGGTCTGTCATAAGGCCGAAGAATTTGTACCCTTTAGAATTTTTCAGAGGGGCTGGGGATTTAGCTCAGTGGTTCTGCCGCCTGCCTTTCAAGCACAAGGTTCCAAGTTCAATCCCTGGTACCAAAAAAAAAAAAAAAAAAAAAATGTTGATTTGCCAGTCCAAATGCTAGGACCGTACTTGTAAAGCCACTGTACAAATCTATACCAAAATCTAAAAGTAGTTGCTCCCAATCTCTTAGTACGAGTTGTCCAAGTGTGCAACTACAAGGCCTTGGTGGTGCATGCCTGTAATCCCCACACTCTAGGAAGCTGAAGAAGGAGGATCACAAGTTCAAGCCTAGCCTAAGCAACTTAGTGACTGAACAAGACCCTGTATCAAAATAAAAATAAAAAGGACTGGGAATGTAGCTCACTACAAAGGACTTCAGTTCAATATCTAGTACAAAAAAAAGGTGCAAGCCACTATGAAATGTAGTTGTGTAAGTGTGATACAGTAGAAAGAGAATTAGCCTACAGCTCCAGCAACTTGAATTTTCACCCTTAATTTGTCCTCATTCAACAATATAACCTAAACACTTAACATCTCTTAGCCTCAAGTGTCTCATGTGCAAACAAGAAGAATGGTTAATAATGAAAATAAAAAAGCATACAGTCCTCAAATTTCCAGCTTACCAACTAGTTCTGATGTATCATTTGACTAACAATTTTATAATATCTAACCCAATATTTTTAAAACATTAGTGGAAGCCATTTCTTTAGATTATGTTAGGATTGTGAATAAAAACTCAGTTTTTAAATCTAAGCCAGAGCTCAGACATAATTGTATTCCATGACATCATGATTTACGCAGACTAATCATACTGTCCAAATAATTCAGAAATTTTTCTTTAATATATATCAAAAAGAAGTTGTTAGTCCACACACAAAATCTCATTACTTGAAAAATCACACCATATTGACCAAAACCAGCAATCTCCAGGACTTTCATCCACTTTAACCACCAGACTCCATCAAATGACCCTTAATTACTTCCAAAAACCAAAGATGCCCTAAAGAGACAGTCTTAGTCATTAGGGAAAAGGAAAGTCAGTTGAGATCTTGATACAACACATTGAACTTTCCCCAGAAAAACACATCAGCTAACAAAAATTTGACCAACAATATTTATCCCTAGACTCTAGATTAGAAACTTCTTATCTAGAGAGATAAAAATTTACCACTATTTAGAGAATCAAAACATGAAGAGGAAAATTGTTTTAAAAGCTTTTAGAGCCAGGGATTTAGCTCAGTTGTTCCAATGCCTGCTTCATAAGCTAAAGGTCCTGAATTCAATCCCTGGTATGAAGAAAAAAAAAGCTTTTAGAACCAACTATTCTGAAGAAAGTAAATGTATAATGGGAAAAGGACTGGACTTGGTATGTGAATAAGGCACCCTTGGGTTTCAGGGTGGACCTGTGGCTCAATGGTAGTAGCATGCATGAGTCCCTGGATTCAATCCCCAGCACAGCCAAAAACAAAACAAAACAAACAAACAAACAAACACTTTGGCTGTGATACTAACCAGTCTTGGTCAAAGAAATCACTTTCCTATTAATGTAAAATTCTTCATTTACAAAACAAAAGGAAAAAGGGATTGCACCACATCAACAGTTCTCAGAGCCTGTTCACTGGGTAAGCAGCACTAGCATCATATAGGAAGTCCTAAAAAATGCAGTTTCTCAAGCCGGCCCAAAACCTACGGAACTCAGAAACTCCCAAGGGTGGGGCTATCATCCGTATTTTCATAAGCCTTCTGGAAACTCTGATGCACTGCTCAAGTTTGGAAACCACTAGATGGGATAACCTCCGAAGTCCCTTCAAGTGCTCAAACCCTACAATTTAACTAGAAAGTACAAACTTTGGTAAAACACAGTACAAAAACCAGTACCAGTTACATCTGTTAAAAAAAATTTACTTTCTAAGGATAAAAATCTCTTACTTCTTATATCCTCCACAATATCCTAACAGAATTTTTTATAAATGTATTGAAAACTATACCACATAGGCCAATTTTGGCTTAAAAAATTACTGGACCCAGAGATAGATGGGACGCCAGTACCTGCTTCAACTTAACATTTGCTTCCATTCCTCCTGCCAGCTACCTAAATTATTCCATGGCTTTAGTAACAAAATATGGACATTTTTATCTAAAAGCAGTAGAGATCTTACTTTCAATGAATATGTGTTCAAAATTCCATCAGGACTTGTAAGCAATAATAAAAATAATTCTTTTATGTTATGTCAGCAAAACATAGAATTATTTTGAAATTAATAACAATAATTATGATTTTGACATTAAAACATAATAAAGAACTACTTTAGAGGTATGATTTTGGGAGGTATGATGATATTATATATGAAACAACAGTATCCTTATCTTTTAAAAATCACATACTGAAACATTTAAAAATAAAATTCTGTCACCTAGAGTTAGCTGTATTATCATAAGGTGAGGTGAAGGGGTGGGTAGGTGAGGGTAACAGAAACAAGAGTAGTGTGGGGAAGAGTACATGTATGTGTGAATTCATTTTATTGTTCTCACTACTCAAATTTTTAGTATTACAAAGTTGAAAACGCATAAATCCAGTTAGCTGCTATATTTATAAGGAGCACAAAACTATATAAAATGTCTAACAGGATCCTGGTGATCAGTGGAATGTTAAAAATGTTGTTTACTCATTATAAAAGAATGCGACATTCCACCTAAATTATTATGAACCTATTACTTAGAATCATGGATAATGTAATATAAATATCCCACTGACCATCACATCCAAACTAATGGTGAGAGGGTGGAAGACTGGCAAACCCAAGAAGTGATATGGTTCTCACATTACAAGAATTACTGAAGAAGGATTCTGAAATTCACACTTCTACTTATTTGTAAGCATAGTTTAATGAAGAATTTCTAAAAATGTAAGTATTTACTTCGTTGTAGGTATTAACAACTATTTTTACATTAAAGGATGAACACAGAAAGCCACATGGCAGTACTCTTTACAGTAACTCGAAACTGTGAGGCTTAAGGTATAGCTTAATGGTAAATCTTGTGCTCAGCATACACTAGGCCCTGTTTCAATCCCTAGCACCGAAACAAACAAACACCTGAGCTAATGCAATAAATTTTCCACAATATTCAACAGTAAATCCTTTTCACAGTCAGATGAAATGATCAATATTTGTGAAATTCCTCCATTAAATGACCGAGTTCCTAACTTTGGCAGGGGTTTAATGAAGCAGGAAAAGAAATACAGATTGCTTTCTTTCTCACACCACCTACAATAGCTAACTGTGGGAAGTCAGTGATTACTATTTTCTAGTAAAATAATGATAATGGCCACTACAAACCTCTAAAGCAACATTATCCACCAGAACTCTCTGTGATAATGGAAGTGTTTTACATCCTGCGCTTTCCAAATATAAAGTGGCCTCTAGCCAGGCATGTGTGCTACTGAGCATTTGAAGCACAGCTAATAGACCGAGGAACAAAAACAATTTTATTTAATTCATTTAAATAGCCACATGTGGCTAGTGGCTACTGTAAGGACAGCAGAACTCTAGAATACCTGAAAGAAACACACGTTACACACACGTTTCACTTAGTATCTAACTTACATTTATTAAAAATTGAAGAATACAGAAAAGCATGAATAAGACTGCCTTTATTAAACAAGCTTTGACTATTAAATGAAAGTATTTAATACTACAAAAGGAATTTTGAGAAAAAGATCTATGCTAACCTCTGAAATTAAAAACAAAAGCAGCTAAGACCTTTTTCAAAGGGAAGAACCACAGACCTCCCTCTGGTGGCAAGAGAAAAAAGTTGCTGCTGAAAAGCTGAACTGATACATTTAAACTGCCAGACATTTCTTTCATATAATCATAATTTTAAAAGATTCCAGAGAAATCTTTAAGGAATCTTAAAGAAATGAATTCTTTTTTGCCAACAAAAATAATGCTTTGTTTTCACTTATTATGAATGCAAATATCTTGAACTCTTATCTCTTCAGAAAAAAATGTTTTGCCAATGACATATGGGAACTGAGGCTCTCAAAAACAAAACAAAACAAAACAAAGCAAAACAGACAAACAAAAAAGCAGAGAAGTTTATGGAGCTCTAACCAAACTGAGCAAAAGAAAAGAAGTTAATTCTTCTCTCTTGGTGAATGCTATAGGATGAAGCATGATAGAAGCTAATTAAGAAGTATAAAGAAATAAGCAGCAGTGGGGTTTGTAGAAACACAAGGTACATCAAAAGAACAATAAAAATGATATTATTATAAGAGTTCTTAATAACTGAAATGACACTTCTCATTCAGATATTCAG